GAAACGAACGAAATAGTCATAAACTTAAGCCCAACTGCTCCCTCTGAGAGGTGGTACTGGCGAAAGTATTGGCAGGGGCAGTGGCAGTGGCAGGGGCAGGGGCAAGGGCAGGCCAGACCCATCCAACCAGTTCGACGAAGCGAACTCCGACCGAACTTAATCGAAACATCAAGGGAGCATCAGCCAGGCCAGGCCAGGCCAGGCCAGGCCAGGCAGAAGAAAGCCAGGAACAACAACCGCCACAAACTTATTAAAAACAACAAGTGCAACGTGCCCCCAGCGGGGAGGGATCCGTGCTGCTTGTGCAGTGGCAGCACGTTCCCAACCAACTGGCGGCCCCTGTCCCCCGTCCGCACACTGCACTGAGCTTGGCCAAATATCAGTTATGGGGGAAAGCGAAGGGAAGGGAGTTAAAGGGAGCCAAGGAGGAGCAGAGAGAACAGAAAGCAGCAGCAGCAGAAGCAGAACTCAAAATGGGCACTTTCGGTCGCAATAACCACGACATTTACGATTATTTTACGGCCACTAAAAATCAAAAGTGTAATTTACGGAACCAAACCAAACTGAACCGAGACGAACAATGAGCCGGAGAAAGGCAACAGCAACTGACGGACAAGAAAACAGGGACAGAGCTAAGCCCCAACTAAAACTGTGCGAGGGAACTGCATTTGTATTGGTGGAGCATCACTTAGGATGAGGCGCTTAAGGTGCCGCTTGTGTCAGTGTGGAGTTGCTTGCTTCGCTGATCCTGGGGCAGTGCGTCGGAGTGGCGGACTTCCGCACAAACTTCCTATTTAATATATGGTTTCCTCTTGTTATTAGCCGCTAAAAATACATATGTACAATATATTTACACAGTACTCGTTGACATCCAAACTTCGCTCATGTCTAAAATGTATTTTTAAAATTGTATAATTTGATAAATAAATTTAACTAAAAGTTGTTTCCACCAAGAAAAGATTTGCAAATGTTTTGTAGTGGTGTGGAGGGGGCTGGGTGGAGATTTAAAGAGGAACAGCGCTCAGAAAACCAGTTGATGTCGAACTGGATGGTCCGCCATGGCAGCGTCGCGTTCATTGCATTTGTGGACAGCGCCGGCAGCAAAATAAAACGCAGGAAAGGAACGCAAGCCAAGTCGAGGGCAGCGGCATCGCCTTGGCCTTCCTCGGGTTATCTCTCCGCACTTGCTGGCTGCCAGCGTGGAAAGACCTGGCCTGGCTTGGCCGCATCCTCATCCCACCTCTCCTGAATGCGATTGGTGTCTTGGTGGTTGGACGAATGCTGCCTGCGCATCCAAAGCGCGTCGCTTTGAAAGATGATTTTCATGTTTTTCCCCTTCGATTTCCCCTCAGACAAGTACGGAGACTGCAAGTCGGAGTCAGAGTCACAGTCGTGGTCCTAACGATGCTCAAAGTAATTTTGTTGTCTTAACCGCGCGTACTGACATCTTGATGCCTTGATTGCTCCGATTTTGAATGAATCGCTTGTGTTGCAACACCCGCACTTGAGTTTTATGCGCCATTCGCATTATCGTCTCTGGCAAGTCGGGGAAATTGAATTGAAGTCTTTGATTGGCAATATGTTCCGTTGACCCCTTGCAAGTTGCTAGATGGGACGGTGATGGTGACCAATCAATGTAGTAGAATGATGAACTCGCCAGTATAACACGACATGTGTGTTTGTTAAAAAACTGGGTGGGTTTGGACTTGATGGAGCATGTTATATTATTGTATTAAAAAACTAATTTTCTTAGAAGACTATAATCTAAGCTTACATTAAAGTGCGAATTAGCGGTTGTTCGAGTAAAACAGTACTTAGGTTCAAAACAGGTTCCTATTCAAATAGAAAAATGCACTCCTTAACATTATATCCATTATCGGAAAAGAGTAACCGAACCTAACATCAAAAATATCGTCCTCCCGAATTACATCCACAATTTAGAAAATACGAGAAAACGCAAAACGAAATTTTTAAAGGACAAATATTTATATCCGAATCTCTCAAATTATAATTTTAACAGAACTTCGTCTGCTAATTAACAGAGAAAAGGAGTAACAGTGACTCTAAAACTGCCCTTGGAGATGAAGCGGCCCAAGCAATAGATGGCGCGCGCAGGCACTACACTGCCATCTGGCGTAAGAAAGCGGCAGCTTCAGTTCGTTCAGTAAAGAAAAAGAAATACAATGTTTTTTTTTTTGTTTTTTTTGTTTGAACAAATTGTTGTTTTATTTATTTATATAATTATAATTCTTATAAGTTTAAATTTACTTTTCTTTTATCAAATTGCATAACACAATTATTTTTTTGTTTATAATAATTTTTCTTCCGCTCCAGAAACAACGTCTGCTCCGCTCCAACGACAAAATGAAATGGTGGGATTCAGGGATGTGCCGACATGTTTTTTCTCGTTCGTTCTCTCTTCTCTTTCATTCTCTCTTTGCCGTCGCACATGAATGCGCCAGCAATTTAATTCCACACTTTTCATTTAATTTGATTTAGCAAAAGGTAACAATGTTTTTAGAATTTTTTATTGCAAAAGTTTAACACTTCGTAATTTGTGTGCTTCCTTCCCCTTACCTATCCTATCCAATTGGTAGATACTGATATTCAACGTAAGTACTGAGTTGTTACGGCTTCACTATGCGTTTTTACGGATAGATGAATGTAGACACTTACTCTTCACAAAAAAGGAAAAATGTACATTCGAAGACTGACTATTTCCAGTCAATACATGCAAATTCGTGTCATATTTGAACATTCCTGAGTTCCGCTGAGTTCCGGATGAGTTCGTCTCATCCTTTTTACTGTTTCATATTTTCTGGTAGAAAGAAAGAGTATAGCTGTTATTTTATTTTGTTTTAAGAGATTTTCCATCGCGATTTTTAAAGGAAAAGTAATTACGTATAGCCGATGGGTAAATGAATGTTCTGCTGGAGTCGATTATTTCTATGAATTATTTTGTATCCAAAGATATCCAAAGAAAAGACCGACAACAGCAGTTACGTGATAATGAATCTGTTGAAAATTCTTCAATGTATAAGTACATGTATAAGAGATATTAGATATTCTGGGAGAAGTGGATATGTGTAGCGCCCAGAAAAAAGCGTTTAAAGTACACGATTCGATATAGACATGTCTGTGTGTCCGTTTATCCGTCCTTCCCCATTGGGACTAATCAGCGTCAACATCCTTAACCTATGCAAACTTACAGTGGGAGCTTTATTCTTAGCAAATGAGAATTGTTCAAAGAGTGAAACAGTACGGTTTAGCGTACTCTCTACCAAATTCTCAATCATATCTTTCGGAATACGATTCCATTCCAATTTAACACTGCTCCAGAGATCGCCGTCGTTTCACGATTGACCATAAGTTTTCAATTGGACTGAGGCCGGGACTTTGAGCTGGACACTCCATAAATTGAGATTTGTGATAAACCAGCCATTCTCGCAGTGCTTCCGACCCATGTCTTGTTGAAAAGTTATTTATATTCGGGATAAACCTATTTCTCCAGAAAATTAATCAAATGGGCTTGCAAAAGTTTTAAATAGTCCTCTTTTCGCATCATTGCGGAATGGAATCGTATTCCAAAAGATATTTTTGGGAATTTGATAGAAAGCATATATTAAAAATGTCGTGCCTAATAAGGGTCTATGCACAAATTGTTAATACTATGACATTCTTTAATTTGTATAAAAAGTGCAAAAGTTGCTTTCGATTTTTATTTTTCATTCTTTGAATTCTTATTTGTTCTTGAAATGATTGTTTATTTGTTAAGAATACAAGTATTTGTGTGGCGTAAATATATTGTTTGCTTGGCTTTATTCGTTTGGCTGTTAAGGGCGGCGAAAGTCGGTGATTATGAGTATGTACTCCACTCCCCACTGTATGCATATGTATGTATGTATATTTGATATTTATGTGTTTTATGTGTACATGTACATGCAGTCTCACACAACTTAATTGAATCCAGAGATCGTGTGAGGCGGATGCGGCTCTTGGAGGGGAAAGGTGACAAGCCTATGAAGTATCGCAGGCAAGCGAGCTAAGACTGGACATCCTTGACGGTTTGAGCCTGAACCTCCGTTGGAGAGCTGGGAAATCGTTTTATTTGAGTTTAATTCAAAGTGTTTCTAATTTCCATGAGCATAAATAATTTCGCAGGAATCGGCTCGGGTCGGAGTCGGGTCAGGAAGCCCGTGCTTCGAGATGAAGTCGTCACTGGGAATGGACCATGGAGTAATTGCATTTCACGCTGCCTGAAATGAAGTGCGCAGTTCTGGGGTCGATTCCGGCTTGCCACCATCGAAGCCGGCGCGGCACAATGGTGGAACGGGGCGAGCCGACAGTTGAATTAAGTTTTTGTACAAATTTTGATATTTTTATATTCGCCCTGTACCACAGAACGGTGACAGACAATGGAAACTGCTTAAAGATAGCTGAGAGCTGAAAAGAATCACAGAGCGCACCCCAGGAGCGTCTCCATCTCAGACCTCGTCCCTGTTTCGTGGTGATTATGGACTCGGGTAGAAAAAAAGGGCAGATAAGTTATTGTAACGAGTGAGAAGCAACAGCAACCCCTGCAAGGCCCCGTAAAAATAGGACAAGATACGAGAACATCCACTGCCCGGAGGGTGCGTCGTAAAAATGAGTTACGAGTTCTGCCATTTTAATTTAAAATAGCAGGCAGCATCAATTGTGCCAGAGCGCAAGATGGAAGAAGGAAAAAGGAAAAAGGTCAGAGGCCAAATTTCCACCCCGAAAACCTATCGACAAACCTAGGGCCAGTCTCGCTACAAAATGGTCATGTTGACAGAAGTAAATCTTTTGAATTATCGCATTAGAAAGCCGCATTCTCACAGATAAATTGCCTGCCCGATGAAGCAATGTCGTAAATAATCCAGCTCGAAACGTCGCCAGGGTATTATAAAGGATTTTCGGGTGGCCGTTTCCCGCACTGTTGATTTAAGCATTCTTCCGAATTTAGTTGGCATTCGAAAGGGTTCCAATGACAGCAAGACTATCTGTATTATATTGTTGGACCAGCACACACACGTACAGAACAGTTGATTATAACATGATATTAAAACGAACGCCTCCTGCAGTCGATCTCCAGTCCGCCTACTGCACCACGGTTATGGTGAAATAGTCCTCGGGGGCCACCAGGTACTCGAACTTGCGCGTGGCGACCCGCAGGAAGCACAACTTGTTGGTGGGATCCAGGTCCCGGATCACGCTCTGGCACGAGCTGACGAGAACCCCGTGCAAGTGCTTCACGATCGCCTGGGCACCGGTGTTGTCGAACGAGGTCTCGGCCACGGCGTTGGCTGTGTTATCTGCCACCACGTATCCCGCCGTATTCTCGCTCGTGATGCGTTCGACGGTCGCAGCGTTCTTATGGATTACATCCTCCAAAATGCGATTCATCTTGCCTGCGAGTGCGAGCACAAATGTTGCTCAGAAAGTATTGAATTTTCGTATTATTTGTTTGCTCGGAGTTCGGAGTACGGTGCTCCGTTTGAGGTCTATGGGTGTACTGAATTTATGAAACGTCTACGAGTATGGCTCCAAATGACTTTTCCGGCAAAGGGTTCTATTCGTGCACCATTTAAAGATGTCTGAGCAAATACTACGCACACTATAATGTGAAAAATTTCATCTACCTGGAAAATCGAGACAAACGCGCCTTAAAAGGAAACAACTTTGTCCTTTTTCACTCGCATTCATGTAATTATGTCACATTTGTAATTAGCGGACACTCACACATCGCGTTGATTAAGTTAATGTTGGTTCGTTCTGGAGTCGTAGCAGATGGCGGAGGGATCGTATAAATTTAGCTTATCGGAGCGCCATATCTCATTATTCACTCTGCTGCCCCGCTCGGAGTCGGATGCCATTGAACCTGAACTCTACTTGTCTGCCCGCTTTGGGGTCAGCTCAAATGACTGGCCCCTCTGCCGCCGCCTGCCTCAAGTTCAAGTGGTCGCGTGTCTGCCTGTTCCGCCCTGCCCTGCACTACGCCCCCACTCGCACCCTCCCGCAGGCCGCATCATCAAGCCATTTTCATTTAATTTTCATGCACATTTAATGGCGTCTGTTATTGACTTTTAACGAGATTTCCACTTCATCCAGCCGCCAACGGGAACTCCATTGCCCGAATTCAATGTATTTTTAGGCATCCGCAGGGGTGCGGGTCCGGGTCCGAGTCCGGCTGTATTCCTCATCAGAAGCTAATTGACTTTTTGACTTTGAACCGCTATTGTGTGCGCGAATCGTTACAGTTTCGTTGGCGAAAGGTCGTTGACTCCAACTGAATGCCACTGCGGGATTAGCTTAAAGATGCAATGAAGAGCCCTTTGTAGCTGTCATAAATCAGCGCCGCATCAGAGCTTCAAATACTTGATAGTGTTTAGTATTTAGTACAACACTCATCTTCCTCCGCTCATCTGTATTCAGGGCTCCTCCTCAGGCTCGGGCTCTGGCTCTGGCTCTAGCTGGGCCTGGACAAGTGCTTGTCGGACAATCTGGCGAGTGCATATGCACTCCTGCCAGTGCCCGGGTCGACCCAAAATGGCCACTTGAGCGCCCACAACGGCCATAAAACACTTTTGGACACGTTGTTGTGCCAACAACCAGCCTTTTGCAGTGCTTTGCCTGTGCAGCGTTCTCTTCTCTTCTCTTCTCTGCGTTGCTCAATAAAATGTGCATAAATTCCGATGCCATTCGTCGGCATCCCGAAACTGGAAGTTGGCCAGACTGAGTCTGAGCCTGAGTCTGATCCCAGGCGGAGGAGCCTCGAATTTAACACACGGTCACAGCCCACGGTACCAGAGTACAGTGGGTCACTGATACTTATCACGGGAATAAGGCTTTATTCAATCAATCATATTTCCAGGTGTAACAATGTCTTCAACTCAAAAGAGATGGCATCTTAAACGGAGTACATAACCGAATGATTTGTTGTACTCTGAAACAATAGAAGACCGCGCTTCGATCTAGCAATCCCTCCATGCATTGTCCATTGTACAAATTAGATATTTTTTAGCTGCATGCCCGCGGGTCCGTGCTCCGCTGCCAACCATGATTCATGGCCGCCAAATGCAAAACGGCAAATTTGTATGCCGAGGAAAATGAATTGTGTCCAAGTTGGAGCTTTGTGCCATTTCAAACTATGCAAAGCTCGAGCTCGTAAATCGCCAGAGCGCAGCCGTATCTATGGTCCTGGTTCTGGTCATGGCCCTGGCTGTCCCCGGACGGGATTAGGCGGCAAACGTTTATCCGAAGCCAAAGTACTGGCATTATGCCGGCGCCATAACTCATTTAATTAAACGGCAATCGGTGGTGGCAGGAGGCACTGACTAGAGCATAGCTCATCCACCCATAGACGGATTTTCGGTCCCAGAATGCGAAGAGGTCAAAAGTTCGGTGTGGAAAGTACTGGCTTCATTACACACAAAAAACTCACGAAATGAACGAAAAATTCTTCTGTTAATTAGAAAACCAACGCCCAAATGAAAGCTGAAATTAAAAAGCAAACTCAAGCAAAGAAAGAGGGCTTCGGAGAGACGTACAGACCGAAGATAGAGAAGCAATTTCAGGCAACACTTTCCCTGTTCCTGGTTCTGTTATGTACGTTACCGTTAGCAGAATATGTAAATGAGCCTTTCGGGCATTTCAGGCCCGGCTCCGGCTTGCCCGGAGACTCGTGCGGGTCTACGCCTGGATCTGGGTTCGGTCAATGGCCAGCGGTCAGGGCCTGCTCCCGCTCCCGCTCCCGCTCCCGCTCTGCAACCAAAACTGGAACCGTATCTGCATCTGGTTTTATGTGCTTTGTTTTGGGCCCTTTCTTTGGGCGACTCTGCATGCAAAGGGAAGAGGAGAGACCCATCGCACACATGGCACAAATTGGCCAGGGGACGGTCGAGTGGCCTAAATATCCTTCGTGTCGTTCTACCCCCCAGACACGGCACACTGACCCACTTGCCAATCTCCGTTTCACCACATTTGTATCATCAGCATCAGGGTCCCGTTCTGATTAAAAACCCGACTCCTGGGCAGCCACTCAAAAAGACTCATAAATAATACGATTCATGTGCTCTCAGATATTATATATGAACATTGTACATTGTCGTAAAAATACTCACCAAACGCGTTTGGAATTTTTAAAGCACCCAAAATGGAAAACATTTCCGTAATGGAGGGGAACTCTGTTTGAGGAACTCTGTGAACTGAAATGGGATATTAAACAAATTTGTAATTACTTATTTTGAAATATTATTGTGATTTATATTAATCGCATCTGATTGACCATCCGAAGAAACTTAATAAATATACGGCGCTTTCCTGGTGTATTATCTTACAATTTTCAACAATTTCCTTCAGATCATAATTGTTTGGATCTCGACTCTTAAAATGTATTGTGGATTTATTCCCTCTTGTTATATGAATGATCTGTGATCTGCCTACGACTTAGTTTTTTTTGTCATTAACAAATTCTTTTAGGCATTCCGAATGCAATAAAGGAGCAATAAAAACTGAGGAGAAATTGCAGATCAAATCCGAATCCGTAATCCCATTGACAAATGGCATTGTTTGTTTTTCAATTTATGTTATGGACTTCTAAATAACAACCAATTTAAGGTATTTATCTTTAAGAAGCGTAATTTCGTATGCAAATTCTGTGGCTGTTGGGGTCGCTAATTTATGGCTGCCGCGGACCTGGCCCGGCTCAAAGCCGATCTGTTTTCGGCCAGTTGAGAAATAATATTTGTGGCCAGACAATGCTAATTTTTATTAGCCATGAAGTCGGCCATAAATGCCATCTTGAACCGTTCGAATTGCTCTGCTTGGCCACAAATTGTTAGAAGATGCTCCGAATCGCCAAATGAGTCGAGGAGTCCCAAATGAAAAGGTGCAAAAAGGCCCGATTAAATAAATCTCGCAGACCTAATTTTAATAACTTCATGATACCCGTTTGGCAGTAGAAAAAACAACAGCAGCAACGCAAAAAATGTAAACATTTTTAAACAAACAAAACTTTTGAGTATCTGGTTTTGGCAGCGAGACGTTTGCCAAAACAAAGACAACGGAATTCATTTCGTTTGTATTGGCCAAAAAGGTGGGAGATGCCAGACAACTTACATTGGAGGCCACAAGGGCAGAGGCACCCTCACAAATTTCTTAATTTAAATTCAAAAGACCCAAGCGACTCGATTCGTCTCGAGTTGAGTGGAGTGGAGTGGAGTCTTGTCGGGGTTCCTCCCCTGAAGCGTGGAGCAAACGATTGGATTGGTATTCATTTCCGTTACAAATGCTTTTCAATTTTGCCGGAGATGAACTGAAAAGAAAGAGAAACAACCAGAGCCAGAGGCAGACTCACAGAAACCGAAATTCAATTTTCAAACGCTTTATTTCGACAATGTTTTGATTTAGTCGCGTTCGCTTTGAATATTTTACGAATGCGTTCGATTTGGATGTGGAATTGAAATTGTGTTTGGATTCGGGGCTTGGGCTGTGGCTGGGGGCTGGGGCTTGGGTTGCGTATCCATTTTCTCGCTTTGTGTGTTTGTGTAACTATGAAATATTTATTATTTAAATTTCTCGACTGCGACTCGAGGCCCCTAAATCATGTTGTTTTTTCGACGCATGATTTAGGTGCAGCCATAAATTCCATGTTAAGCTTTTTGGTATTTTATTTCGGTTGTGACTCTGGCCGAGTGCGGGATATGTCGGGTCCGGGATCTGGTTTGGCTCCCTCCGGATACTGGTGCGGGTCCGAGGCCAAGATAAACACTTGACAACGTGCTAAGGCCGGCAACGGCAACGGCAACTGGCAGCGCGATAAGCGCATAAATTCAAAGCCCCCCGTAATAAATTCAGCGTCACATTTGACGCCGCCATCGCATCTGTGGACCCACTACGAGAGCCGGAGCGCTGGCTCTGGCTCTGCGACAGCCATGACTCTCCAGCTCCACTTCTGACCTCTCCAGTTGACTGTACCGTCGCTGAAGAGCCCCACCAAGAGCCACAAACCTGGTTAACAGTGGACATAGTGTTTCAAAGGACCACTTGAAGATCTCCTCTTGCTTACACTCTTCTCCAAATTAACTTCCAGTAAACGACAGGTAAGCTGGCTTTAAAAAGGTTAATGTGTATTTTTTGAATAGATTTTACTTCAATACCAAGGTTTGTCGAGTTTGGATTTATATCAGATAGGCGATGATATGTTTAGGTAGTTTTATATTGGCAAATCGATGATTGAAATTCCTGTAGTACTCCCTATGCCATCCCACCCGCTCAGGGTTCTGTCAGCTGGTCAGCTGGCTCACCAGCTCATCCACAACCACCACAGAAACTGTATGAATATGACATCTGTGACGTGGAAAGAAGGGAGCGAAAAAGGACATGGGCGAAAGGAAAGGATAAAAATCATGCAAGCCATTCACGGCAATCAAATAGCGCGGAATACGAGTGCAACCTAAAAGGTTTGTAAAAGGATCCGGGCAGGCCGGGGCGCAGTGTGAGAGTGTAA